GGTCTAGAATTTAATAGAATCACCTTCTCCCATCTAATCTCTAGAGATTCACATCTGGAAAAATATGTAATACAGGAGCTTCATAATCAAAGCTCATCTCTTTCACGCACACAATTACTACCTTTCTCTAAAAGAAAATTTCAGAGGATTTCAAATGCGAAAATGGTCAGGAGGAGCAAAGGACAGCAAAGAACATCAAGAAGCTCTCTACCTCATTGATACAATTAGCAACACTCACGGCTGCTTTGAAATAAAGAAAACGTGTCAAGGCATCTGGTTAATCATCTTCCATATTATATTTAGTTTGTCACTGGGGGAAAGATGCATTTGATGGGCTGCGCAAAGCATTTAAAAGAGGTGAATCACAAAAATGTGTATGTGTGAATGAGGCACCTTTTTAAAGCAGTAAGGCAGCCTCTTCCTTTGTACGGCACACAAAAGTTGTTCCCAGTTATCTGTGTGTGCACATATATACACAGGAAACAATTCTGCTGGAATGGCTGGCAAAGCAGATGCAATGGCAGCAGTGAAGTGTGGTTTCTGCACCATCACCAATGTCACAGTATAATGTGGCCTTCAGAAAGACTTAGTCCTGTGTTTATTAAAGTGTCACTCTAACTCTTGTCGAAACCACTACATGCTGAACAATTCAGAAGTTTGTTTAGCTCTACTGTATGAGAGCTCTGCGTCCCCTGGACTTGGCCAAGTGTGTCAGACATTTCCATGCCACATTCTTCTCAGGGTTTTAACCGAATCACCTATCACGGTGTCAATCAATTCCCCAAATGCTGTCAGGACACAGTTAATCTATGGGCTGTGCTATTTTAATACCTTCCTTCTGCTGCTGCAGACTTTAATAGTCCAGTAAGCTTAAAGTCTACTAGGTGATGGTATACCAATCACAACAGAATTATAAATGTTTTTCCATACATTATTCCACCCATCACAGTAAATCAGATCAATGGCAAGTACTAATAAACAAGAGGGGCAAAACTTTCACACTAAGTAGCTTTCTTATGATTCTTACAGATGCTTTATATTAAATCACTCCAGTATTTTGTTAAAAATTCACACTCGTAAATACAAAATTCCTGTATATTCTTTCTCAGACAGCATAACCAACTACCCAAAAAGTAAATATTACTATAAGCTGCTACTGTAATATTAGCAGAAGACCCATTTGGAAAGATTAATCAAGACTAAACATTCTATTAAATAATAACATTTTATTTTAATTGAAAAGAAACTGATATGGTCAAATGGTACACCCTACTTTGGAAAGATTCTGCAAAGGAAGTACAATGTTGCTCTTGTTTCCAGAGGAGTACCTTGCTATTATACTTTTTGCTTTGCAACCAAGATGAATCTCATGAAATCTGAAAATCTAACAAACTGTCATGTAAGCTTTTGTGTACCACAGTCCACAGGAGTATAGAAAAAGTACATACTTGATAAAGCCTAAAATGTTGTCATATTTTAAACTGCATCAACAGAAGTATGCTTTACAACTCAAATGAAGTAATCATTCCACTTCAGTTTGTGATGGTCAGATTCCCTACTTACAATGTCCCTGACAAAGTTCACTGTTATTTCTGGAGACTTCTGGGTGAGGAATAGCAAGCTAGCACATCTCCGAACAAGTGGAGATGATGTTGTGGCCATGGCTGAAGGACCAGCAAGTAGACTGGTCCCATAGAACTTCTTCAGATAAGGAGAGAATAGGAGATCACCCACATGCTCCAGATGGCTGCTCCTCATGGGAGACTGCAGGACAGCAGTTTCCCATGGGTCTGAGTGCTAGGAGACAAGGAGAAGCCATCATGATCTCAATCGCAGTGGAGCCTTTTTAAGAACACTGGGTTTGCTAACCTCACTTTCTAGATCACTTTTCGAAACTACCTATTTAACTACCTTAACACTACTAGAGATCTTCAAAACGACATGTTTGCAAAGCCACCTGGTGAGTTTACCTTGATTCCAGAATAAAAGAAAAATTAACTATAAGCTTAAGAATTTAAGGAACTTGAAATAAATGGGAAAAAGCTATATAAGACTTTAATTCAAGAAAGTTATAAATGAATTAAGAGACCAGACGGATTTGGAATATTAGGTCTTTTGCTATAAGGTTTTGGACATAATTATATAAATAAATAGCACCTTTGTGGGAACTAAAATTGTTTAGGGTACCTTAAGTCATATCAGAAATGTGAGACTTTATGATCTCAGAAATTGGACACTAGAATGGACTAAAGATCCCAGGCATAAAAGGAAAAAAATAAAAAAGAGAGATGGGCTTTGTCAGCATTGGGACAAAATGACAGAAAATGGTATGACATTTGAAATACCCCAGGAGGTATTTGAAGAATGGAGACAGAAACTAGCAGCTACAATATCAGCAATGATGTCTGCTTCTATGGATAGAGTATTTCCAAAAGATGTTAAAGAAGAAATGTCAGATGTGAAAGTGAATATCTTGGAAGCTCTACAGGATAAATTGCTGAAACAAACCTCATCTGATGCAGAAATATTAGAATATAAAGAAATTGTTGAAATACTGGAAAATAAATTGTGGATTATAAAACAGAGATGACAGTTAAAGTGGAAATACAAATGATAAGCCAAAAAAAATGACCTGGATAATGACTCCTTACTGGATTTACAAAAGAGGTTTGCTAAAGCCTTGAAGAAGCCTTTAAGATGGGGAAAAGAAAAATTGCAGAGAGATCAAATCCTACGACAATATCTGAATGAATTAAAAATCAGAAGTAAAAGGAAGGGATATAATGTTGGTTTGTTTGATCAAGGTTAAAATAAGGCATGTTTCTATAAAACTCTGGGAGCCCTTTATGGTCCTTTTGCTGACACCAGGACTGGAATGTTAATGATTTATGGATTTGCCTATGGATAAGGGATGGGTTATGGGAAGAAGAGATACTTGCATGTAACCTTATAGGGGATGAAGAATCACTAGGTTTTTTTGTACTTGTGATGAAGATCGGAAGTCACTTCTTTAAATATTTCTTTTCTCTTTTTCTCATTTTTTTCCTCTTTCTTTTTTCATTTTTTCCCTTTTCTTGCACTTTCTATTCTCTCTTTATTTTTCTTTCTGAGTTTAGTTTGTTTGTTTTTTTTAAATTCAATAAAAAGTATTTTTTTTTAAAAAAAACTAGATGTTTGCAGCCCATACATGGTGGCCTAGCACAATTTAAGGCCCAGGGCCATATGCAACTCCCAGAACCTTCCAAAAGTTGGATATGATTAAATACATGAAGAGTAATTATATTAACTGTATTTAATTAAATTTTAATTAAATGTAAGCGAAATTTTCTTTTCCACGCACTTTCTACTTTTCACTAAGTAATACTTCCCATTTCATAACATTTCTTTCTATCGTGGGCAAAATCCTTACTATAGTTTAAAAGCTTCAATTCCCATGAGCTTCAGTTTAAAGACTCCTATCAAGTTTGCCTGGCTTTGACCAAACACATGTTCACCAGTTTTTCTGAAGTACATCTCATCTCATACCAGCAGTCCATTATCTAGATAATTCAGGCCATGGCCCCCATAATCTGTATCTCTGTCAATGCTATTTACCTAGCTAGCCTTCCATACTCAATATTCTTTTTTTTTCTTTCTACTCTTCTTTCACATCAGAAAACTCTTCTTTTTTTAGTTTCTTCCTAGATCTTCAAAGTCCAGGGTGATATGATTCTACTTCCTGTTTTCCATAGCTCATTTTTCCCTTCCCTTCCAGTGTCCCTAGCCATTAGCCACTATTTAAGTATTTGACTTTTTTTTTATATATTGGAGATTGTTGCTTATATTTTCTTAAATTGTTTCATCTGATTTTTAAATTAATCTTTTAATTTTTTTTCTTATAAACCATATTCCAAATATCTAAACTTGCCTTGCTGTGTGATGTATTGTATGTAAGGGGGCTATCCCTGCTTGAATTTAGTTAAACTTGTACTATGAATATATACAGTTAGTTTTGTCATCACTGCATACTCTCTGATTTTGCATTGTTGGCAGGGCTTCCCTTTTTCAATGTTATGCCAATGGGTTATTTATTATATTTCTATCCTGCTAAAGGGATAATTGTCAGTGGACTTGATATATCCGGGAAGCTGTTCTTTCATAACCCTCATCAGTGTTCTTAGCGGTTAACACCCTTCACAAGCTGGTGGATCTGGTTAACATAGATTTGCTTCACATCCTCATAGTTTCAGTTCTCTTTGTCTACTTGCAGCTGTATCCTCTCTGCCCTTCAGGTCCCACCATCCTTATTTCTCAGTTTTTCTTTTTATTTCCCTGAAGGCTCAGACTCTTCTTCTGAGAGGTCCTGAAAGTTGAATCTGAGTCCTACACTGCATAATATCTTCTCTGTCTCTTGCTTCTTGTTCTCACTCCCACCCATTGGATAGTTCCCTTTGTTTGAGTTTCCACTTTGGGGAGAGTTGCTTTCTCTGTTAGCTCCTGTTGTAGCACCTTCTTTGATCTGATCAATGTTCAGCCTCTCTTCTCTGCTGAAGTGTGGCCACTTAATGCTCTAATCCTCTGATTTTTTTCTTCAAAGTCCACAACTTTTAACCTGCTGCAAATACATGCCCGGTTGTTTTCAGGCAGGAATAAACATGGCCCAAGTGCTGCAGGTCAGGACTCTAAAGTCCTGTCTGTTCATCCTCATTATTTTTGAAGGTACTGTCAGTAATAAGCTTTGATTTCTTTTTGTTTCCTGCTGAGGCTCTTAGCTTACAAGTATAGTATTGATTTAGAGGTACCTTCTTCCCCTTCAACTCCACTGCCAAACTCCTGTTTGTTCCCCCTATTTATTCACTCATTATTGCCCAACCCAACACATTCATTATATGTTTTCCTGATCTATGTGGTACATGATCCTGTTTAAATAAACCTAAGTCTTATAAATACATACAGACTTAGGCTCATATATACACACAACAATTAATGATAATAAAACATCCTATATCTCTATTTCTTACCTCACAGGCAAAGTTCTGTCTCCTTTCCTTCTGTCCATTTCTCTCTGGGGAACGGGATACCAACGAAAATTAAGTTTCCAATTAAATCCTCCATAAGTCATGTCTGATCCAGCCATATATTCAAATGTGTCATCACTGATTACATCGATAATTGGGCATACAACAATTTTCCTATAAAACAAAAATAAATATGCAAACATACTTTCCTGGCAAGGAAATCTGTCTGGTCCAAATACACACATCCAGAGAGGTCAAGTTGTATTCTCAGAATCCCTTTCGGAATTCATTAGCAACTTGATTAAATAAATAAAATCAAAATCTGCTGAGTAGAAGAGAAGAAAGCATGAAGGGAGGACAACATGAGACTTTAGCTACAGCCTCCCTCTGCTCCCTTTCCTAAACATTGGGCAATTAACATTATATCTGAAGATGTATCCATGCAGCCTTGGCAACTGAAACTAGGGAAAGCTCCAGAGATTGCAGCATCCATTTGCATATATGAACTGTGACCAAGCTAGGAAATACAAACATCTGCTTCCACAAGCATTCTAGTGGATTACAGTTACTGTTTTAAACTCCAGACATATTATTCATGGCACATTAAGCATATCCATACCTAAACATATAAATATGCACAGCTTTCTTTGGGTCATGCTTCTTTTTTCCCCAAAGCACAGCACATGCTTTTCCCAAGCATAACCCAAATGGATATGCTCAACATACAAACTATTAACAAGTTGTAGATAGGAAATGGAGCAACATTCATCTTGTTTTTACTTATCCATTTTATAAGAAGCTGTTATTTGTTTTGATTTCAAAATCTAGCTAGATTGATGAAGACAAAAATGGCAATAGTTTTTCACTGTGCGAGGTCTATCAGCTAGAAAACAACCAGAAACATCTATTTCCAAGAAACCTAATGAGAAGGGAAAAAACAGTAAAGGAAATTGAGTATGTAGAATTCCAACTGCAAATATGGAAACAAAGATGACAGATTCATCTCACAATGCAATTAATGACTGGAACCACAGAAAAATAAACAACAAGAGGCTAGACAGCCATCTGTCAACATGATTTTATTTGACTGGCTCCACAGAACAGGGATTTGAATTCAATAATCTCATTGGCCTCTTCCAGTTCTGTGGCTCTATGAAATTATTGATACTTTAGTGGTATATCCAATGTTTATAGAAGTCTCTTTTCAAGTACATCACATATTGACTTTTCACTGCAGTTCTTGTGCTCTTTGGAAGGTAGCAGAACTAGGGCCAGGTTAAGATGTGCTCTACGTGGGGCTGCCCTTGAAGAATACCAATAAGCTTCAACTGGTCCAGAATGCAGCAGTGCCAGCAGTTATGGGTTTGTCTCACTATGCCCACCTTACCCCTTTGCTCCACGAGCTTCACTGGCTTTCAGGTGCAATTCAAGATGCTGGTTATTCGCTATAAAGCCCTACATGGCATGCGGCCAGGGTATTTGTGGGACCACCTTACTCCCATTGTTTCTGTCCATCCCATTCGCCTGGGTAGGAGGGGCATACTTCAGATCCCATCTACTAGGGATTTTCATTTAGCGGGTCCCAGGAAGCATGCCTTTTCCTTAGCTGTGCCTGCACCCAGGAACATCATACCACCAAGACTGGGCCAGCCCTGGCTCTGCTCACCTTTTGGAAAGCCTTGAAGACCTGGCTGTTTTCCTAGGCATGAGTCCAGGAGAGTAATTGAACCCACAGTATGGCTGAATGCTGTTTTGGGGAGCTACTTTGTGTTAGTTGGTTGAGAACTTTTTTTTAATGCATATATATTTATATTGTATTTTAATTCTTATATTATATATTATATTGTATTTTAATTCTTGTTAGCTGCCCAGAGCCACATTGATGAGATGGGAAGCCATATATATATGTATGTATGTATGTATGTATGTATGTATGTATGTATACACACACACACACATACACACACACACATACATACACATACACACACACACAAACTATGGAACCAACTTCCTCATAACGCTCTTGTATCTAATCAGGCAAAGTTTACTAGCAGCACTAAGAGTTGCTTCTCAGCATTTTAGCTAAGACCAAAAGTAGCAAGTGTAGAATCACTCCAACAGATTTTCTTAAAGATTTTAAGAACATAAAGAGAGCCATGATGGGTCAGAACACAGGTCTTCCTCTAGAATTCTGTTCCCACCATAATCAACTTGATGCGTGTAAGAAGTCACCAAGCAGGATGTGAGTACAACAGCACTCTCCCAGTTGTGTTCCAAAGCAAATGCCTCTGATACGGCGAGTCATATATAGATATGCTGCTACGGTATATTGCTAGAAGCTATCAATAATCTTATCCTGTGTGTGTGTTTTTTTTTAAATTCTCTTTGAAACCGCCCATATTTGTAGCCGATACCTTATACATATAAATTATGTGAAGACGTGCCTTCTTTTGTCTATCCTTGGATAACTGCAGGCTCTGTTATTTTGAAACTGTTAACTCTTAGGAGTATGATCTAGTTAGTGAAATCTTAATTAATGGAATGCACAGGCCTTATTCAAGTAAATCCACACATCTTTGTGTGTGAATAAAATAGCAGGCAACTGTGGGGGGGAGGAAGGGCCACCTGTTTCTTTTGAAGAGGTCATAAATATTTCCCATGTGAGATAACAGAAAATCTTCTGAGACTGTATTTGCTCTCTGCATTTTCTACAAATATTAATATTTATGTCATCTGGGAATATTTTTTTTAAAATCCTGATTATAATGGATGGCTGGGTTACAGAAAACAAATGTTTAGATATTATTATATTCTTACCTCACCTTCCCTGTGGAAACTGAAAGCAACACTCCCATAAACAATTCTTTGAGAAATCCTAACTTGCAAAATACTCCAGTGAACGAATCCAGATTTTCTTGGTCCAAATCCATATTATTAAAAACTACGTCACGCTGGCTGTCAGTGGGTCTTTTAACTAACCATCAGAGGAAAAATGGACCCATTAAGCAGGAGGGCACCGCTTTAAAACAATCAGTAAAATATGTGCACTTCCACCGCCAGACTAGAACCAAACAGAATATAGCATTCTTCTGACCTTTTATTGAAGCAAGACATTTCTGGGAGTTGGGATACAAACAGCAGGAAAAGAATAGTTAATAATAAACAGACGGCTGTCATAGTAACAGCACCAGTTCTTAATTCTCACCTGTCTTCTTTTATTCTTGCCAGCAGGGGCTCCAGCCAACCTGTGGTACATTCACAGTGGGCGTCCAAGAAAGTGATGACCTGACCTTTGGAAGCGGCAGCCCCTCTCAGCCGAGCTCGAATCAGTCCTGACCGCTGCTCCATCCTAATAATTTTTACTGGCACTTGCAAATTTCTTACATAATTCTCTAATGGGAGCTTCAGAAAATCTGCCAAATGCCATTAAGAAAGAAAATAGAATACACGGTTTGTTCAAGCTGAACTCCAAAGCAAAAAAACCCAACAGCATTAAGAAGGAATATAGAACGGAATAGAGCAGTTAAGGTGCTTCGCTGCCGACTGCTTTCCATAAGAAAAAGTCAAAAACGTCCAAAGTTTCTGAATGCAGAGAAGCAGAACAAAAAAGGGAGACACAAAAGGGAAAGAACAAGGAAAGAAAGGGAAAAATAGAAAAACAAGGCCACCGAACTCAACATAACATTCTTTATTTTACAGGGTCCTAAGAATAATCTATATATTATTGCATGAAAATAAAGCACAATTGGGCATAACGCATGTGTATGTTTAAAAATATATGTTGCACCTACACATACCAATACATTCACATTCTCATGTGGTTCATGGGCAGGCAGTCCATGTGGGTCCACAGAGCACGGAGGGATAATTTTATTGCCTACAAAATGTACTCACTTTAGCTGGTGGAGCAGAGGGAAGGCATTCTGCTTCCGGATTAGCAACAATTTTGAGCCCTCTAGAGCCTTTTTTCCTATCCCACCTAAAACAGCAGCTCCTACCACTCCTCCTGACTCTAACTTCTCTAGCAATATGAGAAGGAATTATTCTTCTAGGATTGCAAGACTTAGCACATAACAGGGAAAATGAAATAAATAGATTACTGTATGCTGAATTAAAGCTGCTATACTATTTGCATACAATTAAAAAAAAAAAAACTCCCAGCACATCTTTATGTCATGAGAGGACAATCCTAAAACATATTCCAGAGAGCGAGCCTCATTGAACTTAATGAGATTGCTGAATAAAGTGGTAGAGAATTATGCTATAAAGTACCCCTCTTGTTTTAAAAGTGAAACAATAAAAAGAACACGTTATTAAGCACATAATAAAAAGCAGCCCAACCTTAAGAGACAAAAAAGTAGCAGCAACACCATCATCATATTTTCAAATATTTTCTTAAAAATAATGTTTTCAACATACACCAAGAAGATTCAACTCTATATGGAAGAACAAACTTTCTGGGAAGGGAATTCTAAAATTTAGGAGCAATTCCTCAAAATGATCTTTCCTGTCTGCAAGAGTGGACTATCTCCATTGGCTTGAGGGATACAGCAGGCTTTGGGCAGGGCCAGGACACATCTTTGGAAGACTGCAGGAGTTATTAGAGATAAAATGGGTTCCTTAAGCCTCTGCAAGACTTAAGGCATCCATTTTGTTTCTTAGCCCTCAAACTGCTCCCTGCTAAAATGATTGCCCTCACTCACTTTTGGTGGTTCTGAGGACAGGAATTTAATGGGCCATATGTGGTACCAGGGCCACGCTTTTCATAGCCCTGGTTTAATACAATGTGTGAATCTCGTTTCTGCCTCTTATTAAGTAGCAGAGTACTGTATCTCAGTTCCATTGTGAAAAGCAGAATTTGACTGAAGACTTTTTCATGCTGTTAGAACTCCAGAGGCTAAAAGACTGGAAGGAAAGCACCCATTGTTCCTATTCCTGAGATAATAATCAGTTAGCTGCATTCAGATGTCATGATAAAGAACAGTTTCTCTCTCAGCCAGGGAACTTTTTTTTCATTATGAAGGGAATGAGCCGATATGTGCATTGGGCTCACATGCTCTCATCTTCTCATCTTCAGTAGGAAGAACAGCTACAAGGCACTTTACTTCTGCTATTAACCCTGCCAAGCATGGCCTCATCAACATCCCGTGATTAAGCAAGCCACGGCTAGGCTGCCACTACATGCTTTGAAATTTTGAGAAAGAAGGGAATTGTTGAGATAAGATCTTACAAAGATAGTATAATATTCAATTCATCACAGCTTTTTTCAAAGCAAAAGCAATCCCACTTTCACGTGAAAAAATGATCAGCAAGTGATCTCTTAAAATGTCCTCAACAGGCACATCAAATAAGATTAAAATCTACCAGATGTCTTGCATTTCCACTCCAATATTCTCCAGCCAGGAGAGTAAATTTGGTGGGCTGGGGAAGGCTGAGCAAGCAGTAGGCCTCTCCACGTTCTGATCAGATTCTCCAGCTGAACAAGATAAAAGGTGTTTTGTGAAATGTTCTCAGGGAACCCCCATGGAATCTCTCACTTGAGATCAGAATTTAAGAAAAACCTGCTCTGCTCCATCAGTACACATTCTCTTGGCTTTCTATTAACCGCTGTCTACACTGGCAAAACGGGTTCTGAACTTGTGTTTTCCTCCGCACTGCTCTAGCCACTCTCTCCCCCAAAAAATCCAGGAGAGTGCCGTTACAAGATTTGCTAAGTAGCGCTAAAGAAAGGAAACACGGTTATCCCTTGTACTCAGGTATTAATGAGTTTTATTTCTGGACATTCTTACCTCTTTCGCTGGAATCATCTACCAAGATGATCTCAGAAAGGAGATAGTGTGGAGACCGACTGATAACGCTGTAAACAGTACGGAGCAAAGTGCTCCAAGCTTCATTATGAAATACTATGACCACGCTTGTGGCGGGTAGTTCGTCAGGGTAGACTTTTGTCTTACATCTGTCAAAGGAAAAAAGGAAAGAAAAGAAGCAGCAGAGAATGTATTCGGAAATTCAATCTCTAGCACTAAATAACAGCATACAAGTTAATCTAGCTTCAGGGGCTAGGCCTCAAGGTTTCGTGCTGAAAGAATGAAAGTGAGATATTAATCTTTCAAACCTGTAAAAAAGATACACTGTGCTAACAAATAAAAGAGCTAAAGGAGCTAAAAGAGATATTAACTTTAAGGTTCATGAAAACTACCTCAGTAATATGGTGTATTATTACTAAACACTGAATATAAGAATTACCGTTTCTAAATTAAGAAAACGAAATGAAAAAAAAACCTTCAGCACTCAAAATCTGCCACAGCAGAAGAGAAGCAAGAAAATAAATGGAAATACATGTTCCCTCTACATAATTATTCTTTCTTAAAGGGAATGGTCAAACAGAAATATATGTACATATATACAGTGGTACCTCGGGTTACAGA